TTCTCTGCGAATAGCATTTGGTCTCTAACGACATCCATAATCTCATCAAAGCACAGCAGAGCACCCTGACTCATCACAAATCCTCCCAGAAGTGTCTGCTGCTTACGCTGAAACAGAGTGGCGTGGTAAATCAGGGTTGCAGACTGGTTACCACCAGACCTCCTCTGTGACACAGGGAACCAACAGTGCCCACCTCTGATGGGAGACAATGTGCAAATGCCTTTGACCACTCATTGCAGAGCCTGGCCACTGCGGCAGCACGAGGCATCATGGTAGGAAGCACAGCTGTTGTTAAAACTAAGCCCGGCTCCCTTTAACCTGCAGTACAATGAGTTGGTCACTTTTGCTGGACCTGTCTCCCTGCCTACAAAACAGCCATCCCTGGGTTGCACCCTTCTGAGATAGGCACCCGCCCCCAGCAGGCAAGGCAAGGTTGTGGTCATTCATTCACTGTTATTAATTAAGCATCAGGCTTTTGCAAAGCTTGGGCAGATTTCATAAGATGCAGCCAAGGGCCTTGACCTTAGCTTTCCTAGAGAACTTCTCTCAATGTAGTGTTGTCAGAAGGTGCCCCTGGATTGGGTGAAGGGAGTAAGGAAGGAAAGTATCAAGAAAGAAAGGCACCAGCTGAGTAGAGGACAGAAGGAGGGTCTTGAGCCCAGCCGGTGTGTCTCAGTGGTTGAGTGTCGATCCAGGAACCAGAAGTTAATGGTTCGATTCCTGGTCAGGGCACATGCCTGGGTTGTGGGCTTGGTCTCCAGTGAGGGGCGTGCAGGAGGCAGCCGATTGATGGTTCTCTCTTAATATTGATGTTTCTATCTCTCCCTCTCCCTTCCTCTCTGAAATCAATTTAAAAAAATTTTTTTAAAGAAGGGTTTTGAGTGCCCTCAGCCTTCTTGTTCTGAGCCCCACCTCATGCCTCTTCTCTGAAGTTCCATACGTGGACCATTTCATTATACTTGCCAGTTTCTTTCTATAGAAACCTGCTCTAAGGAATGGCCTTATATGTTTATTTACACTAACATGTAAAGGACTGTGGGGGCTTTATACTTGTTCATTTTTATAAGGGGGGAAGCTTTCAGTCAAAGAAATAAATAGCTTCAGATGAGTGGGGGAGGCCGAGAGCCGTCCCAGTGATTCAGAAAGCACACTGCACTGCCTACTCCATCCAGCCAGCCAGCCAGGGTGCTACAGCCTAGCTGTGGCAGGGGTCGGGGCTGGAGTGGGAGGGGTCAAGCCATGGGTATTTAGTTGAACTGACTGAGCAAATCTGAACCCTCCACCCTCTTTCTGGAAGTAGGAAAGTGGTCAGGAGAATCCTGGGAGGAAGGGACAAAGGCCGCTAGGTTGAGCAGCGTTACACGAAGGAGGGAGGGATCACTCCCTGCAAAGGCACATCTCTGGGAAGGCAGCGCTGCCAGGAGAGTTCTGTGTCTTCAAAGTGTGACTGTTAGACAATGGAAAGTAGGGAGTCTAGCTTCCAGCTCTCTGAGGCACCCTCAGCCTCCTCCCTGTGCCTTCCCACCCCCTGAGACATCCCAGGTCATGGCTGGCATGTTCAAGAGGAGCTCATCTCATGGGCAGATACAGCCAACCTGTAGCCACCCTGGATACACCCGGGACTCCCCATCTGCCCTGTATCCTGGGACCAACATAAGGCCTGGACCAGATTATGCTCCTGGTGGGCAGTCAGGGGTTGGGTGGAGAATTCAGGTTTCCAGAGAGAGTCAGAGCAAAGACAGGGAAAAGGACTGGCTGGTAGTGCCACCTGCCCTCCCCCCAGGGCGGCCCCACCCAGCAGCCCTCCGGGTTCAGGATAGGGTGGTGCCCGGGTGTGAAGGGGCTGGTTCCTGGCAGCCCTGGGGAAGGGGCTCCAAAATAGAAGACGACAGACATGGGCCAGAGCCAGTCCTGGAACACAAACACCAGTATATTTTATGTGCACGGATGTGAAAAGAAAGACAGAGAGACTGACGGAGACAGAGCAGGCAATGGGCGCACAAACCAGTCGTGTGTCCTGCTGAGGAGCTGCCGCAGTTGGGAGACAGTCCCGCCTGCCTCAGAGACAGGACCCGCAGCTCCTCCAGGTCTGGGTGGCCTCAGGGGGCGGGTGAGCTCTCTGCCTTACCGTAGCTCCTCCAGCGCATCCCCTGCATCCCCTGCAAAGACGTCTGCGCAGCCCAGGGCTCCAAAGACACAGGTTCTCACGAACTGACCCACTCAGCGGCTGCCTCTCCGGGAGACCCAAGCAGAGGACAAGGGACCAGGACAGAAGGACTCATGGCCACGCCCTAGGTATTATTGCTGAGAATAAGCATAGGCCATTGTGGTGCCATTATGACTCACTGGCATCCGAGGGAACAGGGCACGAGGGACAGGTCACCTAGCAGACATGGAAGCGGTCCAACCATGCGGGGCAGCACATGGCGATCTGTAACTCAGAGATGCTGCGATGTCCAGCGGAGAGGCCCCCGGCACCAGCGGTACATGCACAGCAAGCCGACTCTCTCCGCCAGCACCCCCACTGCTCGGCAGGGCTGGGCTGCCTCTAAACCTTGAGGCCCTGGGCACTAAGGAACTGGGGCCCTGAAGATACCAAATAAAAGAGGAGTTGAGGTCTGGGCTGTGACTGAGCCTGCCGATCCTGTGGCCACGCCCTGGCTCGTTGCCTCCCTTTGCAGGGGCCTCATGAAGCAGAAACACAATGCTCTGCACACTGCCGGGGAGGCAGGCTTGCTCCAGGACCTCCTGCACAGGGAAAAGCTGGTGCCAAGGCATGTCCACAGGGCAACACCTGCAAAGGCCAGATCCAGTGGGCCATCCAAGGGCTTGGCAGGCCGAGAACTGTGGAGGCCTTATGCTGGGAGACATCAACAAGCTGACCACCAGATGCCAGCGTGGAAGGGGAGAGCGAAGGGGGGTGGTAGGGTCTAGGAGCCCACATGGGGACCTGCGAGGGTGTTGGGGTCCAAGAGACTGAAATAGCATGGAGTTGGAGGGGAGGACCAAGGAAACCATTCCCGAGGGAACAGGGAAGCCAGGCAATGTTCTTCCTCTGGAATCCCCTGCAGCTGTAGACGGAGCACCATCTACCCACCCTGGCAGCCTGAAGCCCCTAGGAGCCCCAAAGCCCCAGAATTGGGGCCACAGGTAAAACAAAGCCAGGGCTGGCCCCAGCAGAATGTAGTTCATGCCTGGATGTGACAAGCCTACCCAGGACACGGAGGCTGGAAAACGCCCTTCATCCCGTCCTAGACAAGGTCAAGTGCAGAGAGCAACCCTGCCAGAGTCTCCCCGCCCTTCTCCCGATCCTGGACACACTCCTGCCCACACCCGCCCGCCCGCCCGCCCTGGCCCAGTGCTGTCTGCAGGATCCGGGTGGAGCAACACAGCAAGGAAAAGGAGATTCTCTCCACAGGTGGCATGATCACTTTTTAATGTTTGATAAAAAGGGAAAGGCTAATTTCTACCTAAGAGTTCTAGTGTGGTCAAGTAGAGACCACGTACCATGGGAAAGGCTGTGTTCTGATGGACCCTCCCCTTAGCAAGTGGGGGCAGAGCCGGAAGTGGGCTGGAGGGAGGTTTTCACCTGTCCACTGCCAGCAACAGACCTATCATGGGCATCCAAGATGACAACGCCCATGAGCGTGGCAGGGTTAATACTGTTTGAGGAAACGAGCTCGAAGTGTCAGTCTTGCTGGGGAGGGTGGGGTGGGGTGGCCCTGAGGAGGTTTTGCTGCAGGAATGGGGCTATGGCAGATCCAGAACTGATCCCTTCCCACCAAGGATGGGAGGGTTTCCCTTACTCCTTCATGATCTGCATGGAACACTGGATCCTGCTCCCCCATCCCCTAGAATGCTAGACTGCCCCTGACTGGACTGAAAATGAACCTTCAGGTGTGCCTTTACCGCCCTCCCCACAGCACCCCCCACGCACACTGATTTGTCTCTGGGTCCCCACTTTGGATCTGTGGGGTCCATCTTGGCCTGACTGTGTGCTGTGGGTGTCATTCACTGTTAGCTGGGCCACTATGAAGAGGGGGCATGGATGGAGAAGAGCACCAGGGCACTGCCACAGCCCACCGAATTGGGGTAACAGTGGTGGGAAGGCTGCGGAGGGCCGGTGGGGTGTCTCAGGGTTCTACTTCTGGCAGCTGCTGTGTTGGCCGGGGAGTGGGAGCTGGGGGTTGGTGGGTGACTGACATGGATAAAGGGCTGATAGTGGTAAAGGCCTTAAAAAATAAGCGAGAAAGGGGGGAAACGCCACCAAAAGCACAGGGACTGAAACCTCCAAAAGCCCAAGGTTGGTGGGAATCCAGCACCAGGGGGCCCCCAGGAGGCCAAGAGAGCAGCGTGGGGCCCTGGGGGAAGGGAGAGGAGCCAAGGGAAGGCCTCCCAGCCCTGCAGACTAGCACGGCTCCAAGCAGCTTCCTGGCTGCCCAGTCTCTCAGCAGGCCCCCGGGGAGGTATTGGTTGCAAGCAAGCACCTGAATATTGCCTAACGGAACCAGCCAAAGCCCAACTAAACCAGGTGAGAAGGAACCAGGTGGCTGAGGCAGCAGCCCTAAGCCTCCTCAGACCTGCCTCTCGCCTTTTGCCCATTTCTCAGAGTCCCTTAGCCAGGGCAGGGCCTGCTGCTTCCAAAGTCACCCGCGCAGTCCAGTCCCTGTGAAGCCTCTGAGCTGGGGTGAGATCCACGGACCAACCCCCAAGTCCCTTTGCTGCCTCAACAGCCCACCCCCAACACCAGCCCACAGTGGAGGGCTGAAGGCTGTGTGCACCCCACAGGGCTGAGGCTGGGCTGGGGCTGTGTGCACCCCGCAGGGCTGAGGCTGGGCTGGGACTGTGTGCACCCTGCAGGGCTGAGGCTGGGGCTGTGTGCACCCCGCAGGGCTGAGGCTGGGCTGGGACTGTGTGCACCCTGCAGGGCTGAGGCTGGGGCTGTGTGCACCCCGCAGGGCTGAGGCTGGGCTGGGACTGTGTGCACCCTGCAGGGCTGAGGCTGGGGCTGTGTGCACCCCGCAGGGCTGAGGCTGGGGCTGTGTGGCCCAGCAGAGCTGAGGCCAGGGTGGGGCAAGGCTTGTGCTGTACAGAAGGGGCAACTCCACCAGCTTCGTACTTTTCTCCACAGGGTCCATGAGAGGCCCCAGCCCTTCCCCCACGAGTCCCCCACTCAGTCAGTTTTGATGTGGCCGTTGGCCAGGGCGAGCGGGCCTCCGGGCTCCCCCGGCTCAGCGTCCTTGTCGAAGCGCAGGCGGAGGGTGTTCCGGATGATGAACTGCTCCATGATGAGGGCCCCGCAGAACCAGGGCACGGCGTACTCCAGGGTGATGAGGCCCATGAAGTCAAAGTCGAACTGGGAGTAGTCCCAGGGGCAGGCGTTGAACTGGCGCAGGATGAAGCCGGTGGTGAACTCCCACACGTAGGTCCAGAGCGTGTAGATGAGGCAGCGCACCAGCAGCGGGCAGCGGGCCCGCAGGCGCAGGTACATGCGCTCCACGATCAGGATGGAGGTGCCGTAGATAAAGAGTGCCCACACGCTGGTGACCCCCGGGAACTTCCAGTTAAAGTTCACCACGAACTCCCAGGCCGCTGTGAACATCACCTCGCAGAAGTAGCCGTGGATGGCGTACAGGTACCAGCGGGACAGCGCCGTCAGGGGCTCCACGGAAGCCATGGTGCCCACGGGAGCCGGCTGCTGGGACACAGAGGAGACAGGTGAGAGGGGGAAGGAGAGAGGGAGGCAGGGAGGGCTGAGCCGCTCCTGCTGCCTTCCCACCATCCAGTCCAGGTCTCTGATGCAATCCAGGCCGAGTGGATGTCAAACCTGCCTCTGCCTTTCTCTTTGGTAAACAACCATGATCTCGGCCTTATTCCATGGTCATTACCCACATTCCTTACCTGAGCCGTGGGCATGAGAAATGAAGAAAGCAAACTGCCCCACTGGCTTCCTCTGAGTTAACTCTACTCAAATGCTTCTTGGAGGAAGGTGTCTGCTACCCTTCCTAGACTAGCTTTTTTGGATGTGGTCAGTGAGAGAGTCAGGTGGCCTGGCCCATCAATCACCCCCATCTCCAGGCTACTCCCTAGCTTCTCACCAGGCCCCCCTGGGGTCCCCATCTCTTCCCTCACTTTTCCTCATGTTTCTGAGATCTTTCTAAGCAAGCCATCATATTCGTCTTTCATGCATGTGTGCTAACGTGTATATAACATTTAGCATTTTAGTAATGTTTAAGTGTACAATTAAGTACACTGTTGCGCAACCACCACTGCCATCTTTCTCCAGAACCTTCTCATCATCCCCAACTGAAACTCCATATTCATTAAACACGAATTCTCATCCCCTCCCCAGCCCATGGCAACCACCAGTCCACTCTCTGTCTCTATAAATTAGACTACTCTAGGCACCTCATTTAAATGGAATCATGTAACATCTGTCCTTCTGTGTCTGACTTATTTCACTTAGCAGAGTATCTTCAAGGTTTATCCATTATGATAGCACATGTCAGAATTTCTTCCCCTTTTTAAGGCTGCATTGTGATCCATCTATCTAGACATATCACATTTTGTTTATTCATTTATCCATTAACGGGTTGCTCCTACCTTTTGGCTATTGTGAATAATGCTGCTGGAGTCCCTGCTTCCAGCTCTTTTGGGTATATACTCAGAAATGGAATGGCTGGATCACCTGGTAATTCTATTTTTATTTTTTTGAAGATGGCCTTGCTGTTTTCTATAGTGGCTGTACCGTTTTTACATTCTCACCAGCCACGCACAAGGGTTCCAGTGTCTCTATATCCTTGCCAGCACTTGTAATTTCTGGTTTTCTGAGGATGGCCATCCTAATGGGTAAGAAGTGGTAGCTCCTTGTGGTCACATTTGTCCTTAAGCAGGGTTTTGGTGTTTAGTTTCGATAGTGAAAGGAAACCAGTGAGCTGACAGAGGAGAGAATCTTCCCTCCACTTCTCTTCCCCTCCCCCTCCTTTCTCATAAGGCCCAGTCCTCAAGGCCTAGCCCTCAGGCCTCTCTGCTTTCTCCTCACCCTTCCCCAGCAGCTGTCTAGACCACTCACTGGCCCTTTATCAAATGCCACCCTATTTACTATTTTAGGTACAGGCCCTTTTGATCCAAGTAGGCTGTGTACTCCTTGAGGGCAGCAAATGTTTCCCGTCTTCTCTTCTGCAGCCATGGCACAGGCCTCTCCCAAACAGGCATTCTCTAAATGACACGTGTTGTTTATGGGGATGGTGGGATGCGGGGGTCCAGGGCTGCATCGAGAACAGGAAGACAGAGAATGGGATCATGAATCTCAGCAGGGCCAGCTGCCAGTGGACACCAGGCTTGGCATCGCTGTCGATCCCCTCTCCAAGGTGGGAGAAGGGTCAGAGGTTAACAAGATGATATCTGCAGTCTGCCCACCTGTCTAGGAACTCCAGTCTCATCTTTCAGCAGCCTAGTCACAAAATACACACCTTTATACATTGCTTTATGGTCTTCCAAGCACTTTCGTTCACATTGTGTCATTGGTTTTTACACAATTAAGATTAATGTGGCCCTACCTGGTTTGGCTCAGTGGACAGAGCCATGGAGTGACGGGTCTCAGGTTGGATTCTGGTCAAAGGCACATACCTTGGTTGCAGGCTTGATCCCTGGCCTTGGTTGGGGCACATGCAGGAGGCAACCAATGGATGTTTCTCTGTCTCTTCCTGCCCCTTCCACTCTCTCTAAAAATCAATGGGGGAAAAAATATCCTCAGGTGAGGATTATCAACAACCAAAGAAGATTCATGTGAAGGGCAGGTAGTTTTATTCCCACTTTTTTTTTTTTTAATCCTCACTGGAGGAAGATATGATTTTCATTGATTTTAGAGATAGGAAGAGAGAGAGAGGAGGGAGAGGGAGAGGGAGAGAGAGAGACATTGATGTTAGAGAGAAACATCAATCAGTTGCCTCCTATATGTACCTGGACCAGGGCTAGAACCCACAACCTGGTATGTGCCCTGACCAGGAATGGAACCCACCACCTTTTGGTGTACAGGATGACGCTCCAACCAACTGAGCCACACCAGCCAGGGCTTTACTCCTGTTTTTTAAGAGAGATAGTTGGAGTTCAGAGAGGTCGTCTGCCCATATCCCAGGGCCAGTGAATGCAAGAGCTGAGACTGGCATCTGTATCTCTTGACTTTAAAATTCACCCCACTACAAACTACTCTCCATCCCCCAGACATGAGTGCCTAGTGTCACTCCCTGTTCAAAAACCTTCAATGGCTCCCTATTTCCTAATGAAACCCTACACCAAGCATGTCAAACACGCAGCCCACGGGCCGCACGTGGCCCACAACAAATATTTTTGTGGCCCAGCCAATACAGTGGTATGCACGAAACATTTTAATAACAATTTCATAACTTAATTTTTATAATATCCTGTTATACATAATTATTAATAATGAACTATAACGTTCGCTAATGACTGATTACTATAATCGTGTTGCATTCATTTCCCTTATGCGCCTTATGCACAGGTGCACCATTTCTTTCCACTAACACTAGCAGCGAATATTTTACCAGCCGATTGCCACATCATTAGTCTTGGACTGACTTGCTTGGTGTGTGCAACAGGAAATATTTCCCTTTCGGAGAACAGGAAAAATAGGTTTATTTGGTTACACTTATTAATTTGTGTAGTTATTCAGTGTCTGGTAAGTTATGTTCAAGAAAAAATATTAATTTTTCTTAAAATGTTCTATTATTTTATATTAACGATCACTCATTTATTTCAGCCCTTTGTATTCAGCATGTCTTATCAAAATAAACCTACGTTTCTATGAAAATTGAAGCTTTTATTTTTTTGTGGCCCACATAAACTTAGACCTTGCTTATTTGGCCCGTGTTAGCCTTTGAGTTTGACATGCTTGCCCTACACCATCCTTGCCTGGCATTCAAGGCTCTCCACGCTCTCACTCTAATCTACTTCTTCAGCCTTACTCTCACAGTCCAGCTCTCTGTTTTACCTCCATGCTTCCGCAAATCCTGTCCATTGTGCTGGTGTGCCTTTCTCCTCTCACCTGCACAAGCACAAACCCAGCTTACAGGTTACCTTTAGAACAAAATCCTTTTCATCCTCCCAGACACAAGTCCTCTCTTTTTCCTCTGAATATACACAACACTTAATTCTGTCTCCCTTTGGTACATCTGATTTTCAGTTTGTTTTTATTTGTTTGTTTTTAATATGTTTTTATTTATTTTAGAGAGAGAGGAAGGGAGAGGGGTAGAGAGATAGAAACATCACCAACTGGCTGCCTCTTGCACGCCCCCTACTGGGGGTTGAGCCCACAACCAAGGCATGTGACTGAGCGGGAATCGAATGGGGGACCTCTTGGTTCATGGGTCCATGTTCAACCACTGACCCACACTGGCTGAGCTGATTTTTTGTTTTATCATGTTGATAACTTGCAGTCCCGAGCCAGACATCTTTCCTGTGTTCTGCACCTACGTATCCCACTCGTCCCTGGATACGTCATCCACTTAAATGTCCCATAGGCACCTCCAGTTCCTTTCCTAAACCAAACTCATTATCTTTTCCCCAAAACCTGTTATCCTCCTACGACCCATCCTGATTACTGGTCCCACCATGCACCCAGTTAGCAGCCGGAAGTCCTGGCGTCATTCTAGCTTCCTTTGCCACATCCCACTCTCACATGAGCTCCCTGCGAGTAAGGACCTTGTCCAGCACTGTATCTCCCGTGCCTAGCACACAGTCAGCATTCCACACAAGACATTTCTTATCAGTTAGCAACCATCACATAACAAGTCATCCCCAAACTCAGAGGCTTAAATCTACTCTCATGTAAATCTGCAGCTCACGTGTCCATGGGTTGGCAGATCTTGGGACTCAAGACTTCCATCATAAGACTGCGAGTCCTCTGGAGGCTCGGTCCTGTTTGGCTGGGGTGACTCTCTTACACTTGTCTCTCATCCTCCTCCTGGGCCCAGGGGACTACCCCCAGCATGTTCTTCTCAGGACAAGGGCAAAGGCACAGGAGCAACAAGCTCAATGGCACCAGCGCTTTTCAAGACTTTGGTTAAGCCCAGCCCATGTGGCTCAGTGGTTGAGTGTCAACCCATGAACTAGGAATGTAAAGATCCAAGATAGAATCGATTGAGCTCACAACCCAGTTGATTCTCGGTCAGGGCACATGGCCAGGTTGCAGGCTCAATCCCCAGTAGGGCGTGTGCAGGAGACAGATGATCAATGATTCTCTCTCATCATTGATGACTCTATCTCTCTCTCCTCTCCCTTCCTCTCTCTGAAATTAATTTTAAAAAACAGTCTATTGAAAAAGAGATACTAATTTAAAAAGAAAAAGACTGGCCCTAACCCAGTGGTTCTCAACCTTGGCTGCACATTCCCAGGTGATTCTAATGTGCAGCCAAGGTTGAGAACCACTGCCCTAGCCGATTTGGCTCAGTGAATAGAGTGTCTGCCTTCAGACTGAAGGGTCCCAGGTTCCATTCTAGTCAAGGGCACATGCCCAGGTTGCGGGCTTGATCCCCAGTCGGGGGAGTGGAGGAGGCAGCCGATCGACGATTCTCTCTCATCATTGATGTTTCTACCTGTCTTTCCCTCTCCCTTCCTCTCTGAAATCAATAAAAATATATTAAATAAATAAATACTGGTTAAGTCACGCCCACTAACATCTTGTTGGTCAACACAAATCACATGGCAAAGCACCAAGTCAGCTATTAACGCCTGTCCTTTCTACCTCTTACACATCTCTGAAACCCATCTTCTTCTCTTCATTCAGCTTTCTCATTGCTGCTGCTCTGGTTCAAGCCTTTGTCACCTCTCACCTGGAGGACTCCAATCATCTCCTCGCCTCCTTTCCACTTCACTCATCGCA